AGATAATTACTTCTCCATTGTATAAAGCTTCAGGTACACTTATTTATGCGCTGTAATGGCACTTTATAGCACACATCAATAAGGAGACAATAAAGATCCAAGGACAAACATGTCACAGGATCGATCATATGAGTGTGAAATCCCCGAATAAATGAATGAGATAAACAGAGTAACCAAATATTTACTAACTCAACCATGTAAGACTACTACTGCTATGAAAGGAAAAATGAATGAGGCTATACAACCTCGGCCACTGGCTGAGACCTTTTTTTTTTTTGCCAACAAAATCTCAGTACTAACTGTTTGATGTATAGTAAGCTCGTTCAAAGAAAAGAGTACTCGCAGAGAATAATAGACATATAAACTGATGAGCAGCAGGACATCAGGTCTTGCCCCGAGGAAGAGATCAATAGAAAGACATCTAAGTTGACAGATGATCCTAAAGCAGAATAAACGAGTGGATGCGAGAAAACAATCAAATTTCCAAATTTTCAACGTTCACGGAACAATTTTCTTTTATTACACTGGCAAAAGGGGAAAATCGTTAAAAAGGATATAACGGGTAATCTATCTTAATTCTTAAAGGAAATAGTATAGTGTGTTTCCTCTCCACTACACATTTTCTCTCTGTCTATTTCTTTTATATAATGGATGAAGGGATATAATGGGTAATCTATCTTAATTCTTAATGAAAAAATTCTAGTTTGTTGGCCCTCCACCACACATTTTCTTGCTTCCTTTTTATTTTGTAAAATACTGCATATTCCACAAGACTATAAGAAACGGGGGAAAACGGGTGCAGTGGGCACTCACGTGAAGCGCATTGAAACAAGGAAAGCTCATATGAAGCCCAAGTGGGGTTCTATCCCAAAACCAATTAATTGATGGGAGGAGTAGTCCACTTTGCTTATAAGGTATGCCTATTTTCCATGTATAAACGATGTGAAACAAATCATAAGTGATATTTTAACACGCCCCCTCACTTGTGAGTCCTTTATACGAGGCCCAAACCCATCATCACACGGTACCACGTAGAACCAACTGATAACATGTAAGAAACGGAGGGAAACGGGTGCGGCACCATGCACGTGAAGCACACCATGGCAGGGTTAGCCTAGATGCACCATAGTGAGGTTCCACCTCAAAACCAATTGGTTGAAGGAGGAGGCGCCCACTAGGCTTATAAGGTGGGCCTATTTTCTCAACTCACAAGTGATGTTTTAACGAAACTAAAACCACCTTCTACCTCGTACCTAGCCAAATTCTTCAATAAAACAAAAACTAAATCTTAGATGAGCACAACACATAGATGATATGACCTTTAGAACTAATGCCTGAAAAGAAAATTTCTAAAAACAAGTCAGAGAGTCAATGACCAATGCAATCAACGACAATTAAAACACGCGTTTGCTGACCAAACGCGCTATCAAGTATCAAAACATATTATAAGATACATGCAAAAAGCTGATCAGTATTGAAATTTCCATATAAACAATCAATAGAATACTTACAGCACCACTGGTACAACAGTCAAAAACTTCCTGTTGCGTGTGAGCTGCTTGCCGCTGTCTATCTGCTCCCACCAAGTCAATCTATTGTAAATACCCTGATCATCTGCAAAAGGTGTTCCTTTCTTCCAGTGAAAGAAGTGATATGTGACCTGAGCATAAAAGGAGGAAGCCCACCATTTTATACGTGAAGTGCCTCGAGAAATGGCATTTAAACTCCCAAGAAAATGAAACTGAAATGATATATGCTTCGTGATCGAACACAGTACTATACAACATAACAAAACCCAAGCCAATGTTTAACAGTGAACAATCAACAACACAACATTCTTTTGGATTTTCATTTCTTCTTATTCAAACGGACTATTGTGATACATATATTTTGCATGTTATTCATGTAGCTATTGAATAGGTAAAGAAAACGAAATTTTATGCAGATGAAGTCCCATACAAACATTGGATAATATTTCATGGTAAGGTTGTGAAGCCCTACCAGTCAACACATCAGTAAAACTACATATCCTGAAGCAAAATGAAATAAGATTCTTGCAGATTAGGTTATGCAATCCAATTTCAAATTGCAATATGCAACAAGCTAATGACCCCCCGGGAGATCTAAAACAATGTTAGCATCCAATAATAGCCCAATGGAGGGAGTCCCAAATGCATATTCATTTGGCGACTCTAAAACTGAAGTATCATGTGGGGATTGACTGTTTTCCAGAATTGCTAACTCTTTTAACAACATCAGTATTCATGTATAAATATAACAATAAAAAATCCGATAATCACGACACGCAAAGCTGAACCAGCTTTCGACTAGAATTCAAAAGGCTAATATATTCCGCAACCTCAAAATAAAAAGATGTAAAACTGTCGAACTCTCTAAACAGCTACACTAGATCAATCACACATGCAATGAGAGAATATACGATCGAGCTCAAAATCCAACCCTCAACACACAAAGCCGAAAAAACAATATCCCATAACAAGCCAGAGCTGAAAAAGATCAAAACTCCAACAAACCCGATCACACCCTGAAAGACCCCAAAACGAGAACCCCAATAATCACCAAACGATCCACAAAAACACAATAACAAAATGACCTCCTCCATAAAAGCAAACCCATTAACACAAAAGATTCACTATTCTCATTAATACAAAATAAATTTGGCCAATCAGAAACGAACCCACCGAACAAGCAAATACGTACAACGAAATGAGAGAGATGGACGATCGTCCACGCCATGCCCGGAGAACAGCCGAAGACGGAAAGCACGACCAGCCACGAGAAGAACAATATGAGGATGTAGGTGGTCCACACACCGGGGTACGTGAACCACTCCGTGTTCCGATTCAGATCCGTCGTCGGCGCCGCCCGCACGTACAAGTTCGCCATCGTTGAAAAATTCCCCTTTTTTCTCAAAATTTCTTGAGCTAATTGGACAATTACGGGTTCCAATTTGAGTGATGATCGAAAATTTATAGATAAAAGGGCATACAAGGGGATGATCGATTTGATCGAAGGGGATTTGGGCGAGATATCAAATGTAGTTTGTTTGTTACAGTGTTGTGACAAATTGAAATTGGAATCAAATGTTAACATTAACTATTATCTTCGATAATTACATGATTCAACGGTTTATAATCTGACAGAATAATTTCGTAACGGGATTCTAATATTTTTATTTTTCTTTTTTTTAATTGTTTAAACTTTAAAATTGCACCTATCAATTTGAAAAGATAATTGGAATTGAAATTAAACTATTGCTCAAATTCAATGTAGGTAAGGTTAGCACCAAGTATTATAAAAGGTCAAATTTAAAAAATAAATAAATTAAAATGTGACATTTTATAGTATAAATCTTCCTATATATTAATTCAGAACACGCTGAGCCTTCGTGGTTGCTTTTGGTGCTTCGAAATCCTATATGGCAAAATTACATGTTTCCTTATTAGGCTTGGGTAAATTTTAATTTAATTCCAAAGCAAAAATAATTAGGTTCAGATTACCATACATATGTTGATTATTTATGGTCATGTTACATGCATTAATTTCATTTTAATATCATTCCTTATTATAACTATTGAATTGTATATGCATTTTAAAAGTTAATAATTTTTGTATTTTTTATCAGTTTTACATATGTAATATATCAAATTAATCTTTTTTTGATGAGCTTCGATTTAACATCATATTGTATGTATAAGAAAGTAATTTATATTTATCTTTATAACAATAATAAAATTTTTTTAATATTAATTAGAAAAATAAAACTATTTATCAACTAATATATTTATATTTCAAGTAGTTATATGATATAAGTTATAAAAACTAATATAATATAACACATGTAAGTCATAAGTAAAAAAAATACAACACCCGTGTATTACACGGGTGCTTGTTAAAAAATTATTTTTAAATTTTAAAGTTAATGGGAAAACTATAGTATTAAATTTAGTTGACTTTTTTACAAAAAAAAAAAAAATATATCACTATATATTTTAGAATGATATGTGTTACTTATGACTTACATGTATTATATTATATTAGTTTTTATAACGTATATCATATAACTACTTGAAGTATAATATATTAGTTGAGAAATAATTTTACTTTTCTAATTAATATTAAAAATAATTTTATTATTGTTATAAAGATAAATATAAATTATTTTTTATACATACAATATGGATGTTAAATCGAAGCTCATCAAAAGAAGATTAATTTGATATATTACATATGTAAAACTGATAAAAAATATAAAAGTTATTAACTTTTAAAATACATATACAATTCAATAGTTATAATTGTTAATACCCAATTTTGGCCTCGCCTATTAAAATATTACACGTGGATCCGTAATATATCAATTGTTTTATTTTATGGCCCAAAAATAATACCGCTTGTAATAATAACGGGCCCACTAAAAATATATATATACCCCTATGATGGACGTCATAGAGATAAGTCGGAGGGGCTATTATTATTTTTTCCTTTCTTGGCCTCTTTCTTTTCCTTTCTACAGAATCTTCTAACAAGCTTATTGAATCTATTACATAAAAAATCATAAAACAATATACAAAAGTACAACAAATTCGATGATATACATAGTTCTTTGGTTGATCAAATTTCGCATATCAACAATAATAAGGAATGGTATTAAAATGCAATTAATGCATGTAACATGTAACATGACCATAAATAATCAACATATTTATGGTAATCTGAACCTAATTATTTTTGGTTTGGAATTAAATTAAAATTTACCAAAGCATAATAACGAAGAATGTAATTTTGCCACATAGAATTCCAAAGTACCAGAAGCATCCACGTAGCCTCAGCGCGTTCTGGATTAATATATAGGGGGATATATATATTACTTTGGTGGTACTATTATGATTGTTATTAATATAATGCTCAAAGTATATAAAAAATCATATTATTCATTAAATTCAGACAACTATTGTCATTAATCTGTGTAAAATTCCAAACGTATATTTCTTCTTATTAAAATCTAAAAATTAAGTTAAGATGAGCATGTACACAGGATGAATTATTAGTTGATAGTTAAAAGTATGTGAGTGAATATCAATGCTACAGATAAATTTATAGTAATAATTTATTTTATTTAAAAATAATTTAGAAAATGTACATGTGTGAAAAAAGTAAAGTAATTAAGTAGTATATTTTTTTGATTGGTTGGTAGAGAATCTAGAGACAAATGTGTAGATTTTCAATGGCTATATTCTAGCTTGTGTGTTGCGGCTGATTGATTTTTCAATGGCTATAACAAATTGTGTAGGACCAATATAATTGAAAAGCATGAATGTCCTATCCCAGAATTTATTATTCGGAAAATTCAAATCCGTGTTTATAGAAATATATTTGCTTTGTATCCGAATGTTCTTGCCGACATGGAGAGAAAAGGGCTTGGAAACGGATTGACTTAGCCTCTCTAAATATCCCTCGGCTCGATTAGGTTTGAGTTGAGCAACCGAAGTGTGTTTTGTCTCTTTTATTTTATTTCGAATAGCAAGTGAGGGGCCGGTCCGTGGTCGCCCACTTTCGCTTTTGTATGCCGAGAAACGGTCGAATGTAAATTCATTTTGATCTATAAAATTTAATTTAACAATAAAAAA